ACTTTTCATTCAGGCATTATCCGAATTACACAATTCTGATAAAGTAGAATTATATTTCAATAGTTTACACACAATCTAATCCACAATGCTCAAACTTTTTACGGACACTACACAATTCTGATTTGTCTAAATTGTAGTGACTTACATATATTATCAGGTTTCTAACTATTTTTCCGCAGAGTATAATGCGTCAAATCTAATCAGTTTCATTTTGTTCTAACCATCGAACTACTTCCTTCAAGAAATGTCTGTACTCAAATATATTTCTAAATGGTTTTAAACTCTTAGAGATCTCCAGTAAATATTCCACCTGACATTTTACTTTAAGAAGTTAAGGCACTCGGGTGTAACTCAACCCCTCCTCTTACAGTTCATAAACTCTTGCATCCTACCTATTCTTCTTTATTGTTCACCCCTGCTTATTCTTTCCTGGTTTGCTTAAAAAAGACTGTGTCACAATTCGTAGAATGCTGAAGACGTTCAGTAAGGTGAGTGGTGTCCCAGTGCATCACATAGTTAACGCCGTTGTCGATAGGCACTTGACTTCGTGCAATAAATTTGCTAAAGGGATTTTGTCTGACTTGGAGCATCCGCTTTACCCTCAGCTTTCACCTGGCATCTCCTCAGGTAGAACAAGGAGTAACTTCAGAAAACTGTATGCTCTCACGTCTAAGTATAAGAATTCTGTGATACCATACTTGGCACGTATTTTATGTGATAGTGAAAATAGTGTCAGGCAAGAATTAACTAACCTTTTTTCATCTAGTAAATAAACAATTTCCTCCATTCATCCTTCAAGTTTTACTTTTATTATTTCTATTATATTTATGGTCCTGTTACTTTTTTGTTTTACTCTCATAATTGCAAACACCAACTTATCTCTATGACTGCTGTAATCTTTGTTTTTCCCCTCACCATCACCATATCATGTAAAGAGAACATTATATTCAATATTTTTAAACATGCTAGGATATCTATACCCCATCGACAATACTGTGTGCAATTTTCACTTGTATTATTATTATTATTACCCTACCCTAGCTGTTATCATTATTATTTCCATTTTATATGCTGCATGTTTTTGACATTACCCACTCTTATCGTAAATGTGGAAAATTTTCTGAGTGATTGATTTTATTTATCATTTGAGGAAATTAGATGCTATATTGTGATTAATGCTGAAAATTCCAATCTGTATCACAAGTACTGTTTTTGGAATAAAGTAAATCATTATTATTATTATTATCATTAAAACCCTTACAAAACCGTGAAAGTTGGGAGGATAGCAGTATGTTTCATATCAAAAAGAAAATTAACCATCAAATATTACGCTATAGATTGCTGTTTTACTTGAAGATTCTATACAAGAAGTCTAGATGAAACACACCCTGAAAATTCTGAACTATTTGTAAAAATATTAGTCAGAATAAACGTGTTAGTTAGATTATTATTATTACTATTACATAAGCAGCTATAAATACACTTTCATTGGCTGTTTTTACCTCTGGTTTATGAATTTTTTTATGACTCAACTCTAATCTACTCGATCTTACACTTCCTACCGCTTTCTCCTTTCCAACCCCAACCCGTCATATATCTACTCAAACATTCATTTGACATGTGAATTGTTTTTCTGCCGTTGCCTACCCCCGCCATGTTATTGCTATGGTATATTTGTTGAGTTGACATGTGACGGTTTTTTTTAAGAAAAATCTATTTTTCTATTGTGTCATCATAAACATAAATATATTTGTGGTGGTGAGTTGGTGAGGTGAAGCAGACAGGTGCGAATTCTTTTATTCAACCAGTCTGTGTTTTCAAAAGTTAATTTTTATTGGGATCTGATTTGTTTCAAGTTTGATCACGGATTGACATCATTTAGGTGACCACCAAAAACCACCAAGGAATACTGGATAGCTGTTTTGTTCAGGTGCTTGAGTCTCTTCTGCAGCAGTACACACCCGCCGGGGTTCGAATCCAGGATATAACAGTTAAAAGTCAAGCCCACATACTATTCAGTCACTGTAATCCGATCCAATGGCCAGACTATGAATTCCAGCCCCTACCAGCCAATATCATCGGAGAGTATTTCGTCTTCATGCCCTATCATGACAAAACTTGTGGCACAGTGGTTAGGACTCTCGCCAACCATGCACATGGTCTGGGGTTGAAGCCCACGCCGACGCACACCTGATACCTGTGGTTGGCCTGCGAATTTTGGGCTACCGATATCCACGCTGAAAATTCCATACTTGTAGCAAAAATACAGTGTGGAATCAAGCTGTCATCAAAAATAAAAAATAAAATAGATGAGATCCCTCTAAATTAACTTATCAAAATTATTCCGACGCTTACTAGAAACTGGCTACAGAACGAAGTTGACGGGAGTTTTTTCTGAGAGTTCATGACTGATGGGATGCGCCAGTGTGGTAGAGTGTGAAGACAACTACTCGCCGATGACACAGGTTGGTGGTTACATTCCAGTGCAGTGATTAGTCAGCTAGAGAACCATTGAAAACGCCATCATGGAATAGGTGCTGAATATGGTTTCTTCCAAACTCGAGACTCCTCAGTGATGATATACGCTTATACTCTTCTTGCAGAAGTAAGTGAGTGATAAATTTGAGGTTATAAGGCTTGTTCTTCGACTTTTCAGTGACTGAGAAGAAATCTAATAGCCTATGAAACAGCTTTTCAGTATAATTTGGTTTTGCAATGGTTCTCCAACTGAAATCACTTCTTGATTTAACTTCAAGCCAATCAGATCTCTGCAAACCAATACTTAAAATCAACTTGACTCCTCAGTGATGACTATATGACCTAATGTGTGTGAGTGCAAGGTATGAAGAAGGCTGTATACTATATGCACGCGCCTAGCCGTGATAATGTTTTATGCGTCGATGGGTCCAATGATAGAATAGTCACCAATCCCACTTCACTGGTCTAAGGTTCAATTCCTAGTTAACGAAGCACTTCTGTAATCCCTTTTAGCCTGTAGTAAGCCCTAGGTGAAGAGGAAATATTTTGGATGAGGCTAGTAACCTCACTCAGTAAAGGACAAAATCACCGCTACTGTGACTGTAAACCCCAAAAGTTTGAAGCCCTATGTCTCAACAGGAAGGTAAAAGGAATTAAACAAAAACTAAGTAAATAATGACATCCTCGTAGACTAAACTCCCAGAGTTGTGGCGAAAAACTGTAACCGATTGGGTTCATCAAGTCAACTGGAAAGAGCGGTTAATAGTATCGTTATATTTCGTGAATTTACAGAAGTTAGAGTTCATGGATGGAAAGATTGTTATAATAGCTCTGACGGCTAGAAAAAAAAACTGCTGACAGAAAATGTCATATTCTGATCGCATCAACATGATGTCTGAATCTGCCTGCAAACGCTGAATAGTATCGTATTGATAAATGCATATTATTTCTGATTAGATTGGTACGCTTTAATTCCACTTAAATATAAGTAGATTGACCAGTGTGAATGGTTAGAATATACGTGGAGCATATGTTTTTGCTAAGTTTTCAGTTACAACATAACAGTTTTTCTCATTGTTAGCGAACAGTAAATGTATCAACCTCAATTTATATTACAGTTTTTTCTGTAATATTATGCAAACTTAAGTCTAATTGCGCTACTATTCACGCTATTCATCTACAATCCGATTTGTTTTAACTTTTGCGAAGTATTTTGATGACGTAATAGAATTCAATCTGCACTAAAGAAAGGACTAGACACATTACACTGGTCACTAGTGTCCAATTAAACGTATGCAATACAGTCCTATAGGAGGTCAATCTCAAGCCCGAATATCTCAATTTTAACGCCTCTGGCTGCACTACTGGGTGGTGACACGGGTTCGATTCTCAGTAGGGACATGAGTCCTTTCAAGATTGTAGATACGCCTTGCTGACGAGTGCGAACTTGCACGAAACCTAGGTCCAAGGTTTCCTGTGGATTGCTTCCAACCATCTAATATCATCACATCAGCATGCACCGTGATGAAGAGCTACCTAGAATGGTGGCCGCATTTTAAACTTCACTGACAAAATTCAATCCGCACCAATGAGAGGACTAGACACATCACCCTAGTTACTAGTGTTTTCTTTTACTATGCATGAGTAAGCAAGTGTACACGCACAGGGAGAAGTATTTATGTATGACTATGATTCCACTGTCAATTGAATGAAATTGCCGGAGGAAAGTGTCTTCGTTGAGCTAACTGTTCTTCCTACCAATCGATAGTCTCATCATGATGAAACACACCACACAGCATAGAAACAGAAATCATCTATGTTTCTGTTCGCTTAATATTTATATTTATTTCAGTTGTTTATTATTTTTACAAGCCAACATTTGGTTACCACCAGAGAATACTGGACTGCTGTTTTGTCCTAGATTTGGACTCATGACTCCTCTGGGGATCGGCCCCGGATCTCCCACTAACCATAGTGCTCCCTAGTGAATGGCTACAGAACGAAGTTGGCTTGAGCTTCATCGAAACGTTATGACTGGTGGAGTCCGCCAGGTCGGATGTCGGGAAAGATACTCACCTATCCGAGTGACTGGTAGTTAGCCATTGGATTGTGTTTCAATAGTTGAATTTATAGTCTAAGAGCTTGACTTTTAACTGGAAGGTCTTGAGTTCAGTCCTTAACAGTGCATAAGTACTTGTGAAGAATCCCACGCAACAAGACGAAACAGTTTTTTGTCCCTCGAGCATTAAGACTAATCTTCAAGAGTCAGCTTGTAATCCTGTTGATTTTTACATTTCAATCTCATTTAAAAACAAAGCATTAATACTGTCAATAACGATTACTTTCCAAGTATTATGTGCATTTGCCAATACATAACTTTCAAATGAGGAATAAGTTATCGAAAGAATATTGACTTCATCAAAACAAAATTCATTGAAGCGAATCATGTTTACAAACACAAACACACACGCACACACTAACCAGAAAAGAACAATGCATTTGTTTTACTCAATTAAACTCACCTTGAAATTATTATACTCCATTGTGTATGATTTATTCATGTAATATACTACTAATAATACTATACAGAGATGTAAATGACTGGAAACTTGAATAATTGACATGTTCTTTTTTTAAAAATTTCTGTACACTATGGAAATTGATTAAGGGGAAGTTAAATCATGCAACTATTTCATTTTGTATGTATGTATGTGTGTGTGTTTTTCAGAATTCAAGACTACTACTTATTCAATGAATGATTCACACCTGTTTACATCTCATAATCGATGTGTTTCTCATTTGTACTAAAATTGTTTCTTCTCCTAATCATAATTAATGTGATAATAATAATAATTGTAATAAGATTGGAGAGATAGTTAACAATGAGAATAGAAATTATACAGTACACTATCTGAATTGAACATTGAACAATGGCTAAATTTGTTTAAATTGTTCGGTTAAACATATAGGCAATCGAATGCTGAATGTACAGTAGAGTATGTTAATTATTTCCCCATAATGATTGTTTTTCGGTTACCTAATCACTTCATTATCACTAAAAGGAGTGATGTAGTAGCTTCAAGTTTAATTGGGTATGTAGTTGATGAGGTATGCTAATGATGACAGCAGAGATTAAATAAAAATGAAGAGTTAAAATGTATTATGTCTGTGAGTTATTTGTTTATGTGAATCATTTTCGATACACAGAGGGAGAGAGAGAGAGAGAGAAATAAGCGCGATATTTTAATACATTCATCTATTCAGCGACATTTAGAGAGAAGTTTGTCTGTATGAATGTATAGCCTGCGTGCTTGGGTGCATATTTAACTCAAATGCTTAGTATACTTCATAAAATATGTATATACAGTCTAACTGTAAACTATTTTTACTGGTAATTCGAAAACATTTATCGCACACACACACACACACTGATACATAGATAGATGTATAAACACATTCACATATGTGAGTTACCATTCTATCAAATTGATAATTGAACCAATCAGAAATAAGCGTTTTATCGGTGTCATTATGTTTACTGTCCGAATTTTTGATACTAACATGATAAAACCAAGTGATAATTAGAATTACATATTTTCAAGTAATGGTTTGCAGGAATTAGATTGGTTACAGGTTCGATCACCAGCTGACATCAGTTAGAGAACCAATGGAAAGCCAGTGGAGAGTACTGGACACCTAGCTGTTTCGTCCTAGTGCTTGGAACTTACTGTTCACCTGTACTCACTCACTGGGGGTCGAACTGAGCACCTTCCGGTCACCATTCATTCAACTACTAGGACCCAATCTAATGAGTAGCCCATGAATTCCATTTATTACCAATTCACAATGTGTTCGCCGATATCATGAAGGAGGTGATGCCCTCGTCCCAGACTTCTGGGACCCCACTGGTTACGAATTTTCATTATATAAACTTTCAAGAGTTAGTCCATAGGGGTTTCATTTGTTTCAGATTGGATCACAGATCGATGTCCATCAGAAAACCATTCGGGAGTACTGAATAGCTGCCTCGTCTCAGTGTTTGGGGCTATTCAGCAACAGGGTTTGAATCCAGGATCATTCAGTGATAAGTCAGGCTCGTAGGCTATTTAGCCATCAAGACGCGATCCTATGACCCATGAATTCATACTACTGACAGTTATTTTGAGAAAATGGTAAACAACATATTGTATATCTAGTCGTGAAAAGTGTTTAATATTATTATTATTATTGTTATTAATGATAATTATGATAGACTAAATTATAGGTTTTTCTAGTAATTTTGACTTATTTCATTACAAAATTTGTCATCTCGTTGAATTCGAGGGAGACACAGGATTTCAGTTGCACATCGATATTTCAATCTTTTCTCTGCTGTCTTTTCTTTGCTGACTCACATGTTTTCACATGATCTGTCTCATATCATCTTCAGACTGACGTCTAACCTGTAGCTCTCCATTAAGGTTCCACTAGAGGAACTACCTCAGTCAACGGGTAAGGCAGACTTAGTTAAATGTCTGACAGACTGAGTAGCATATCAAAATAACATGATGATGGAATAATCAGATAGAAGAAGGGTTGGTGTTAAAATAACTATCCTATAAAATTTGTTGACAACATATATGCGGAGGAATATTAAGCATTTACAGTTTTATCATATAGGGAAGGGACATTCGAAAGCCTACGTAAGATTCCTAATACATTGGGAATCAGAGTGGAATTCAAGTCAACAAACTCTCTCAAGGACAAGCTGAGTAGGTTGAAGTACTCTACTGACCCAATTAGACAAAATAACGTAATTTACAAAACAACTTTATTGACTGTGAGGTTAACTACATAGGTCAAACCAGTAGATGCCAGATAATCAGATTATGTATATAAATGAAGTCTGAGAGTTGTATGAATGCCTTGATATGGCTATGGGCAATAAGTTGTGCCGTAAACGTAATCAGTAAATAATACTGTATCACTGCATGTCTTTGTCAAATAAATTTACTCTGTGAAAGAGTTATACTCTACCACAATACCTAAGTCATATTCTTACATCTTATGTCACTCACTAGTCGCCTCAACGTGTGTGTGTCCGACCCATCCTCATTTTCATTTGAATATTTATTGGGCAACAGGTGGTTAGTTGGTTGTTTCGTTGCCAGATTTCCCTTTTACTAAAATCCTATTTAGGCGGCTAACTTATTTTCAGTAAGAAGCGGAGACAGCCATGTCTGTAGCGGACTGTTTTTGTGATGACACAAGTTTGTGAACTATATAAAAGCACTGAACTAATAGTACTGTTGAAATTTCGGGTGTTGTTTCTAGTCCTGAGTGCTTTATTAGGTCCCCGCATCGATTCCAGAGCATTAAACGCTGCTTGTCTTGTCTTCCTGATCCTGCCTTTGATAGCTTCATCCGCAGTGCAGCCTGTAGTTGGCATAATACTGCCAGGATAATTAAGAGATGACTTCGTTTACATCTCATCCGTAGGTGGAGTACTTTTTGTTGTCGGTTGGCTACCTTCATCAACCCCTGTTTTCTCTATGTTCATGTAAAGGCCAGTCTTCGCTGCCTGCTTCTTCTGCCTACTTGTTGGTTTTCGCATGCAGATCTTCCAGACTGTGATAGATGATATAAATCATCCGCAAAATCTAGATTTTCCGGAGTGTTTCTGTTAGTTCAGAGTATGTTCGTCTTCATACTCCACACAGTCTATTACGCGGTATATTCCACACAATAAGGTAGGCAGCCATGTCTTACACTTGTTCTGACTTCAAAGGCTTTTCTGTAGTGAATCACTAAGCACTTGACAAAAACGAAACTTATAAATCTTTGCAGAGTTGCATGCCAGTCGATGATGTCGAAGGCCTTTTCAAAGTCAGCGGGGTTTAAAGCCATCAAAGGGTACTGGAAAGCCAACTCTTTCCTTCAAGTGCTTGGAAATCTTCAGTGGTGGATACCCGACAGTGTTATAACCAAGGACTTTTAGGTGACTGGTTAAACTCATAGACCTTTCAAACCAGTGGCCTACACAAACTCCAGTTTATACCACTTTATGACTGATTACAAGACGAAGTTAACTTGAGTTCCAGTGAGAAGTCGTGACCAGTTGAATCCATGAAGTCACTGGTGGGAAGACAAATACTCATCAGTTACGTTAACTGGTGGTCGCAGTAAACCCACTAACTGGTAGAAGTTGGAGTTCACTGGCCCGTCATCGTATCGGGTCCTAGCAGCTGAGCGGTGTACAAATTTGACTTTTAACCAGAAAATCCTGCGTTCGGACAAAGGTGGGTGGGTTATGCTGAAGAAATCGAAAAGTCAGGACGAAACGGCTAGCCGTCCAATATTTTCGGTCTGACATCAATCAGTGATTATGCTTGAAACAATTCTCATTTCATTCGATTAATTTCAAGTAATTTCTAAAGCCTTCCTTGTACAACATTACATAATCTGTTACCCGTATGTTCATGCTTAATTGGTGAAACTAGTTACCTAATTTAATTGTTATAGAGAAGGGCTTCTTCCCTGTGTATACCTAAAGGAAAGCAGATATTCACAATGTGCAGTTTCTAGACACCTTGTTCTTACAGGGCGTTTTGTAGAGATTTTCAAATTGTCCATAATATTAAATGTAGAAAAAAGATCGAATTTACCGCGTTTTGTAGAAGCGATTGCAATCTAACTCTTTCAACAAAACTTATGTATAGAGACACTGTGGTGTGATGTCATCAATCTCTGACTCCCTGTGATAACTGCATTTCAGTTTGTCTCCGACTGAATTCTGGGGATTACTCTTTTTTAATTAATGCTTGTCTGTATTTCTTAATCTAGCATGGTTCGAAATATTATTATTATTATTATATTTTTTCAAGAGATACTTTGATGATTTATTGAGGAGAATTTGGGAGACATCCTGGATATTTTACAACCGTTACCAGCCTGTGATTCACTTCAGACTAGAGAGGGAATCTGACTCAAAAATATCTTTTCTGAACATCCAACTAATAAGACATGAATAAGATGGAATGCTAAAAAATGCATCTACAAAAAAGCTAGTTGAAATGAACAACTTACAAAATTCCATAGTTGGATGCCTCTATATACAAAACAAAACCTAATCCTTCCATCGAACCACAGAATCTTCAACATTAGCAGTTGTGACACTATCTATGATGGCCTTAACACCTTGAAAACAATTCTGCTTTAATTAGGCTACGCCGAATGCTCCATTATAAAATCCATGAACAATTTCTACTCCAAAAAGACTTCTCTATCTGAATCTACAATTCAATTGACACTGATTGGCAGAATTACTCAAAGACCGTCTGTCCCACTCGTTGAAGAAAACCTTTGTGGATGAATCTCGACTAACTTTCGCTACGAGACCAGTAATTTAAATGAATGTGGCGAATAAGCTACCATCACAGGATGCCCCATCAATGTGCATACTGATACGAATGACCTTGGCGGCCTGTTTGAATATATTTGGGCTACCACATTCCATGTACATTTTGCATCTATTTACTCGTATTTTATTGGTATTTACATATCACATTATGCATTCTAATCGTATTATCTACCCTCGGGATTTTATAAAACGTTTTAAACCCAAAAACTTTCATATTTGCAATAA